CTGGAGGTTGCTGGGTGCTTCTAATTTGTTAGACAGTTCTTCCCTAAAATTAAGCTGAGTTCTGTCCTCCCTGTTTTTTTGTCCAATTAGGCCATTCTGAGTAATGCAGAATAAATTTAGGCTTTCATTTTTCACACCGCAGTCCTTTAGATGTTTGAAGAATTCTTTCAAGTCTTCTCCAAGTTTCCAAATTAGCCTGGCTAAGCCCTTTAATGTTTCATGAAAAAAATATCACTTTCATGATTATCCCAAAGGTACTTTGGTCTATGATTAATCCTGAATATAGTGGGACCGATACTTATCTTGGACACTTATCCGATGATAAGTAGACCTGGTGTTTCTTCATTACATTATAATTGCTTGTTGACTTACATGTGTACCCACGTGCATGTGTGCCTGTTAACTTCTGTACATGAGTGTTGCCTTTAAAAATGTATTCCTATGATATAACTATAAATTGGAATAGATTATTTTCATTTGCTTTTTATTGTGATTTGGGTGAAAGCTTATGGAACAAATTGGGTTTCCCTTCACCACATCCGTACCCATTTGTTGCATGCTATGGACTGCAATCCCCACACGGTCACAGCGCTTGTCTTCCCATGTCTTCCCTGTGTTTCTCATTGCCCTGTCCTATCCCTTCCGACCTTTGTCCCTGTGCAAACACTGCCCTGTTGATCTCGGATCGCTGATTGTTCTAAGGCATGTGGATGGCCCTGCTGTTATTGTTTACCTTATATCCGTCCAGTTGGGCTGCAGGTTGAGTCATGAGGTTTTGTTCCTCCATGGGATTCATTATTTTGACTCAATGCAGATCGTTTTGAAACCTGATTCTATTACCCATTGCATCAGCTAGCGTTCCCTGCTCTGTGTCATCTGCCTATTAAGGAAACGTGTCTTTGTAAAAATAATGACTGAAATAGCCCCCCGGAGAGCAAAGCTGACAGACTAGCAGGAGACATCTCTCAGGGCTGCTTTAGACCATTGATCAGCAGTCTGCTTCTTCTTGTTCATCTGGCTCTGGATTGACCTAATTTTGTCACCCAACCCACTCCTTGATGTATTTATTATTCACAAGGCTATCCTGAGAAACTTCCAGAACGTCTCTGGAGCCGGGTTCTGCTTCCTTTGGCAATCTTCCGTCCACCAGGCCGTAGCAATCAGTTACTTGTGGTGATGAGGAAGAGAAGGTGTCAGGGATGACTGCGCTAGCATGGAACACGGGGATCCGTTTGGATCACAGTACTGTATCAGTCACCGAGGAACCAGAAAGGGCTGCTCTGGGGTGAAGCCCAGCTTGGGTTATATAGTTCCCGACACAGCCAGGATCTTTGTAGTCACCTCATAGTCATATCAAAGCTGTGTGACATAAAAAGAAATGGTACACTGAATGTGTGATGTATTAAAGAACACTGGATAGATCATAGTCTGCCAGAAAAATGGCTGACGCAGTCTCAGAATGCATACAGAATGCATACAGAATGCATACAAGCAGAATATTCCTTAAGAGTGAGGACGGCAAGACTTCGGCATGCTTACTTTGGACCCAGCACCAGGAAGGACCAGTCTCTAGAAAAGCACATCGTGTTTGGGAAAGTGTCAGTTAAGGCGAGGGAAGGTCTTAAGAAGCGAAGTGACTTAATATCGACAACAGAGGAGTCACCTACCCAAGGCTGTGCTGGTGTCACAGGACCGGGCAGCACTGCGTTCCCTCCTGCTCCAGGTGGCCGTGAGCTGGCGCACAACAGCCGAAGCCTGCAGGGCCCCCGGTGCCTCGTGGAGCCCTTCTGTGGGCAGCTGACCCTCCGAGTCTGGTACCCGAGGGCCTTTGCAGTCTGGGAGCACACAGCTGAAGCAGAGTTGAAGCTGTGAGGAGGACCTGGGCGCCAGTCTTTGGGCATGGCTGGTGGATGACACATTGCCAAATTGAGGGAGAGTGTGCTAGGCGGCCTCTGTGTTCTGGGTGAAAAACCCTCACCTGTTACAAGAGGTGAGCAGACTGCCTGAGAACAGGGGCTCTTGGGAGTCAGTGTAGAAATAGGAAAGGGAAGGTGGAGTCCATGCCTTCTTTCCCACTCCCTCATACTTGCTGCCCCTGAAGACTACCACCTAAGTTCTCTGACCCGCCTTGAGAGTCTTTATTTCCAAGCACTGGTGCAGTGCTCCCACCTGGGAGGATGTCAGACAGGAAGCACTGGTGGTTTTAAGCACTTCCCTAAGGAGCTCCCGCTGCCCCTGCCCTTCCCTCTGTGCAGGAGAGCAGCTCCGTTAGTTTACATGAAGGCACAGACAGTTGTCAGCAGCTCCTGGAAGACTTTCGTTGGTTGTCACAATTCCTTTGACTCCGGAGGGGCTAATTGGGAAGTTTGTGCCTAGAACCGCCCCTTGTCTAATGAAGTCCCTGCCCCAGGTGTTGGGTGTCCTTTACCAGGCCACCTAGAGTCCCAGCCTTGCGCTCAGGACTAGCGGGGTGGACGAGGGCTCTCGCTTCCCCAGTCTGACTGTGTGCCCAATCTTTAAGTCACCACACTCACGGCCCTTCATCCGTGCTAGGCATGAACAGGGTTTTCTTTATTTTTTCTCTCCCCCACCACCCCCACCTAAAATTTTTTTTCCAAAACATATTGCTTGACTGATTCAGTCTTACTGAAGTGAATGAGCAGGGCATTTGTTTCCTGCCAGAGCATTGTTTTTTCTGGGGAAAAGTGTAAAAATAATCCCTGGGTTAGTCTTTGATTTGGCCTGACTCGGTGGATGAGGCCAGCAGCCGCTTAATGCGAAACGAAGCTGAGAGTTGAACCACTTCATTGGCTTTGTGGCCAGTCCTCTATGGAAACCACAGCGTGGATTCATGGAGAGCCTTGTGCCATTTTAAATGGCACCTTTCTGTAAAGGGGGACCCTCAACACCCCCATCCCCCACAAAGACTTAACTGAAAGTAAGTCTCTTGAGAAAGCCTAAAATCTTCACCCACTAGAACGGACTTAATAAAACCTTTTTTTTCCCCAGAAGGGGTTGTGGAATGATAAATATCTTAATGGTGAATGGGTTGAATGCCCTTTACTGGATTAGTGAACAGGTGTATTCTGAGTTTTAGCAAGCATAAATGAGCAATCTGTGCCCAGTCTCCTCTTGGTGGTGTGGTGCTGAGTGGGGCTGCCAAGCGCAAGGTCAGCAGTTCGAAACCACCTGCCGCTCTGTGGGAGAAAGGCGAGGCTTTCTTCTGCCATAAAGGGTGACAACCTTGGAAATCCACAGGGTCAGTTCTACCCTGTGCTATAGGGCCACTGTGAGTTGGCAGCCACTCGATGGTCGTGAATTTGGCTTTGGTTGGTGCCCAGTCCCAGTCCAGGATCAGCCGGTAGCAGACAAAACCCTCCAGAAAAAGCCCGCCCTGCAGTTAAGAATAGATTCTGCTCCCTGAACTGATTACTGGCTTCGTGGGCTTCATTTTCAGTTGCCCCCTCCCTCACCTACACTCCCCCATTTTTGCTTTTAATCTGAGAAAGATATTGTTCTCTCTACACCTCCTTTAGTAGATTTTAATGATGTTTACGTATGGAGCTTTCGTGGATTATTTGGCTAATATTAAACCTAGGCTAAAAGACCCACAAATTAAAAATCTAATATTCAGTCAGCATATGTTGAATTAAAAAGGAAAGTAAATGAGCAATATAGTTAAGGGAGTTCTTGTGAGAAGAATTGTAGTACCCTTTATTTCCCCCCCATCCCCCCACTGAACACAGAAGGGGAACAAACGAGGAAAGGATTCATTATAGACACATGAACTCTGTCGGAAGGGGCCCTGTGGGAGGCTGATTCTTATTATGATATCCTGGTTGGAAGGGAATGAAGTGGGGTTATTGCCGGGACAGTCAATGACTTGGTTTTTCTCTAGTGAATTGGCTTCAGTAGGTGACTTTATTTCTTCTCATTAGGCAGCTGAAAATGTGTATTGATTCATTTTCTTTTCATTGGAGCGACAGCTCCATCGGAGATGGAGACACAGAACCGCTCTCTTTGCTGGATATGAGCAAATGCATTA